GTGTGTAGCTTCGTCCCTCCCACAGATAAATGAGGCCTTGGAAAAAACATTGGCAAATGGATTTAATAACTAATACAGAAATCCGACATCACTCTCAGAATAAATTTAGGGCGAGGTCTCATTGTTACCCTATCTGCATGAAATATTGTATATGGAGGGTTGCCATCAGAGCCTGAATCTCTCATTCTATGTGCTGAAATGATTGCTGTTTTCACTGACAAATGAGGCAATAAGCAAGATGACATTGGTTCAAGATCTGTAAGGGATGAGAGTACCATGTTCAAATCCCATGGTGCAGCAATTTTCCTTATAGATTCCTTATAGGACCATTTATACATCATGAACCATCTGATGCAAAAATACTAAGGCTCCCTGTAATGGTGGATAGAAGGCCGAAATTGCTGCTAAGTGAACCTTGATTGAATTAATGGACAATCCCGATTGCTTCCAAGACAGTAAATAGTCTAGAATCATAAATGTAGAAGCTTGTAACGGAGCATGGCCATGTGAGGATGACCAGATGGAAAAATATTTCCATTTGGCCATGTAGGTTCTCCTAGTGAAGGGTTTTCTACTCTGTAACAAGAGATCTTGAATTTCCAATGATCAGCTACTCTCTACTGATGACGTCCACATAGCATCCAAACCATCCAAGCAGGGCCTGGGTGAAGAATTAGGCCGGAACTCTGGGAGATTATGTCTGCCTGGCTAGGTAGAGTTATGAATCACTGGTTGGAGAGAAGCAATATGTCTGAGTACCAGACTTGGTGAGGCCAGGCTGGAGCTACTGGGATGATCCGAGCATTGTCCTGTCTCATTTTCTACAACACACTGAGAACAAAAACGCAAGGGGGAAAAGCGTAGATTTGGTGATTTGATCAGGGAATCATGAAAGCATTTGCTATGGATGCCAGGCTTTTTTCCCCCTCAGGAACAGAAAATGTGACATTTCTTGTTCCTGTTGGAGGCGAACATGTCCACTTGGGGAATTCCAGTTCTAAGAAGACCCATCCCACATAAAGGAGAGTGCTTAAAACCTGGTGAGGGCATAGCACCCAGTAATACAGTAAACAGTAACTAACTATTGAACTAACTAAATAAGTACAACTCATTAACTATTTACAAAAGCTCACAGGCAATCTCACCGTTGTCATCAGTAATCATGCAGTAGAACCCCAAGAAAAGCTCCGACTCAGATCACAAGTGGTGAAAGGGAAGTGACAGGGATCGGGGCAGTGCCATGGGAAAGGCTACAAGGGCCAGAGGGCACGTCACCACCCCAATGGGTACTGCTAAGCAAAGTTCTCCAGATTTGCCACGCTGGGCGAACGCACACCTGAGTGGAGTGCACATCTGCAACCACTCGAAGAACCATGAAGCTCTTCTCATTGTCACTCCCATGTCTACAGCATCAAAACAGCTTGTGAGAAAGTCCTGGTAACTAACTGACCCTCTGTACAAATGGAGCTGAACACCTCTTTATGGTTCTCTGGTGTAATCCCACTGCAGATACATCCTATCTGGCCAACATGGTCTAATCATGGTCTATCCTGACCTGCAGGCTAGCAAAGGAGTAGATTTTTCTCCCCCAAAGACCCAATTTTGGGGGGTTTTATACTCCAGCCTATATTTCACTGACTGCTTGGATCTTTCCTTGGCTGCAGTTACTACTACGGATGACAGCAAGTAAAAAAAACAAAAATTCAAAACCCTTTGATGGAACTTCATGTCTCCAATTCACATGCTTTGATGTGGCAGAGATTGAAGCTGGAATAGCCCACAGATCTAAAATTCCCTCCTGGATTGGCAATACTGCCATACTCTGGTATGTAGGCTGCACAATAGGAAATAGTTTATATGCCTTTTCTTGTGCCATCTCCAGAGAAAACTAGAAGGTTCCAGCCACTCTCTTAAGCAACTCCTGAAATGCATTAAAGTCATCTATGGTAGCAGGGACAGAAGGAGTCATAGCCTCATCTGATGAGAATGATGAAAAAAGAGGAGGTGCGGATGGGTCTTCCTGATGGCTCTATATCATCTTCTTCATTCATCTGATGCTGCTCTTCCTGAATGATTTCCCCTGCAGGTGAGTGAGAGACTTTGGCAACTCAGGTTTAGGAGATTTGTCTCTGGACCTTGGAGTAGGTAATGGAAATTGTCCCTGAAAATGAAACTAATATGGCCAAATAGCCAGGTCTGGAATCCATACAGACATGACATATCAGGCCAAGAAGGAGGCATCCAAGGAGCATGGGGAGGCTGAGGAACATGACCGCTGTATGAAAAATAGCAAGAATACTTCCTATGCTGTTCTATATCCCTGGACTGGCCCACAGAGAATTGAGCCAGGCTGGGGGAAGGGTTTCTACTGCAAATAGGAGACAGAGAGGAGGACAAGAAAACTTCCAGAGGAGATATACTTGGGGGATCCCGACACCTGAGGTGAACTCATGGACCTTTCTGTAAACTGACAGAACAACAACAACAACAAAACCTGGTACCTGTGGCCCTGGTACACAGACAGTAAATAAAAGGTGACATCTACCAGAGGAGACTTCAGTTCCAGAGTAACTCGCGACACTGCCTAGGTAGTAATGATATTTCAATAGGTCTTGCAGGTACAGGAGGTCTCAACACCACAGAAATCTAGGACAGTGTTGAATGAGCCAGTGACTGGTGAGCGTGTCAGCACTGACTGAGCCCATGCTAAATGAATCTACAGCAAACGAGCTCACAGTGAGCGTGCTGGCATTCAAAGAGTTGTGTCAAAAGAGCTCTCAGTGCTGCAGATTTAGCTGGAGGGGCCAAAGTCATAGGTACCACCAACAAATCAGTGGCTGCCTTCTTAGCTCAGTGTTGTTCCTGTGCCGAGTACAATTACTTTTGCAGGGCCAGCTGCATTGTGCCGACTTAGCCATGTCCATAGACCTATGGCTCTGTGGTTTCCTTTCGCTTGGTACCAGAGAAGGAAAACAGTGGCCAAACAAGAGGCAAAATTAGAGGTAATCTCCTTTCTCCTGCGGCTAGCACAGATCATGGAATGTGGCAACAGTGTCTGTGGTGCCATTTACAAGCTCTTGGAGGAGGAGGGAGCTCTCTTTGACCCATTCAATCCAGGAGTGGTAATAGTGGCTGAACACTAACTGCATGAGTTTTTAGGGAAGTATCTAATCTCGAACTTCTTCCTTCTGAACCACTTCTGCGTCTGATCATGCCCACAGATTATTCCAGGCGGTAAAGTTTTAGCCAAGATTCCCTGGCCTTTTGCGTGTATTTTTTTAATCTGTTAGAAATTGCACACTTAGAGGGAATATGACTCTCTCCTAAGCAATATGTCAGTCAGTAAGGGGAATTACCCCTCCAACATGAAGGACAAGTCTTGAAATGTGGAGATATGGGTTCAGGCACCAGGTATCCTAACTACTAAATTATATCTACAGAAAATACTTTTTTTTTTTTTTTGCCAGCTGGCTCAAAATGAAACACTATGAAACAAACTAATAACTACAGAAACTACAGTAAACTAACTCTTATGAGAGACTGAGGTTGTTCTGAGTCTCTGCCAAGGGGTGCTCAGAGTGGCGGTTGGAGTCGCTTTGCCTTTCTGCCATTGGGAGGGAAGGACGAGGGTGTGCAGGGTGCATGCACAACCCCTCGTGGACATTGCTGGTGAATACATTCCATAATCCTGTGCAAGCGGCGCATGCGCACCATGAGTGGGATCCACAGACAGACATTGGAAGAAGAAATTAGGATTTTGTCTCAGATAAAGAAAGAACAGGGGCAGATTCAGCAACATGAGGGGTTGTAAATCTTTATCTGTCTCAGCTTAGTTTATGGGGAAAGCCAGGAAAGGGATATTTTATATGCTGATCCCAATACCTGTATAACTTTGGCTACAGCCTACAGATTTCTGATCTCACCAGAAACTGAGTAGACCACGTCAGCTATTAACCCAAGGGCTGGAATGCTGCTCCCTGTTCGAATCCCAGACTTTTGTTTATTGACAAGGCTCTGAAGTGTTTGGAGAATAACTCAGAAGCTGCTATTCTGCGCAAGGTCTGAAGAATCCAGGTGCCACACGCTGCATATTATGGCCATATGACAGAAACTGAGAAATTATCTCTGAAAGAAGATAGGGGATGTGATTATGCATGTGTGCTAACATATGTAAATTATTTTGAAACCTTATATTGAAATATATTTAACAGCTAAGTGGTGAAAGTCTGTCTAAGGAAGACTGGTGGATTTACTAAATAATAGCTTTTAGATAAAAGCTATTTAGCATTCCAAATACTGATTTAAATGTTTTTCTGTGTATGAAGTGTTTACTAAGAAGTTGCGTTGCCTTTTCTCGCTGCAGCTGACAGGGAACTGTTATTAAAAGCTATGTTCAGGGTTACGTATGTAACAGTCTGTAAGGGTTAACTGTGTAATGCTTTCTGAAAAGTCCTGAAGTGATAGAACTCTGATCTGTGTTTCAGCAAAGAGTTAAACTGAGGTGCAGGAAAGGAGAGTGTTACGAAGATGTCTCTGCAATGGACGCATATTGAATACAACATCGAATTCAAGGTCTCTGTTCTGATATTCCCAGTTCTCCGGGAGACAGTCCCTAGCTACCTGACAAACTCCCTCTCCCACTGTGACTTTGGCTTTCAACAACAGCTACGCTCCACTTGATGCTGTTGATCAAAAGGGACAGAACTTTTACATGAGCAGGACCAACGCTGTGGAGCCCATTGCCAAAGACAAACAATGACCAGGAGGCTCGGCACATTGAGAACTAAATGTCAGGCTCATTTCTGTGACTCAGCTGCCCTCCGTAACTTCTTCACACAAGCAAACACACTCACCCCCCCAAATTATTATGGTACAGTCATGTTTTCACTTCCACTGGCAACAAAAAAGAGATTTTTCTTACTCTTTTTTAGTACTTCTGAGGCACTCAGACATTACCATGATGGAGACCATATAAGTCAGATAAAAAGGCAGATAGATACCTCCAGGTAGGGGACAGGAGTGTCTGGATTCAGAGGGTATTCCCTCAGCAGTCGCTCCTCGTCCAGGAACTTTCCAGCCCTGCCATTGAAGGCTGGCTGGAAGAGCCCATAGTTCAGAACATCCTTCAGGCTGTGGTTCAAGGTACAGAGAATGCGCTGTTTGGAGACCCAGACAGGAACATCAGGATTTAGCCGCATACATTTCTATGGAGAAAAGAGAGAGTGATTAGGGGATGGCAACCCAGCATTTCTGTAATTCCATAACCACATCCAAGAACAACAGTGGTGAGGCCATGGAACAGCTTAGAACAGGAAATCTATAACCTTTTTCATGGCAGTGAGTAAGTGGAAATAGATAATCTGCAGAAATTAGGGAGGATAAGATCCATTAGGTCCTATCTTCTCTATCTCCTGTGATGCCAGCGCAGAATCATTCTCTACGATCTAATCTACAGGGTTTTATCCTGTCTGCAAATAAATGTTTCAAGTAATGGGATGTCCAGGAGAGTATTCCATGGTCTAATACCATACAATTCACTGTCAGGAAGTTTTCTCCATTATTCAGCTTAAATATCCCCGTGGAAGGGTGCAGAGGCTCTACTGGATATCCAAAAGTAGAAAGATCTCACAAATATAAACAGAGACAAATGATTTTGCAAGGCTGTAGACTGCTCAATTAGGGACAATGAAGGAACCCAGAAAGGTCTTTAACCATTGGGAAGAAAGGCCTTGAAAAAGGAGGCAGAGCTCTACATAACATTTCTAGACACCATTTATGACTGCTTTTTGGAGCAGCTAGTCCTGGAACCCACAAGGGGAGAGGCAGTTCTTTATTTAGTCCTACATGGTGCACAGGATCTGGTCCAAGAGATGAATATAGCTGAACTGAACAGTAATAGAGAGCATAACAGAACTACATTTAACATCCTTGAAGGGGAGAAAATACCAAAGAAACTCACCACAGCAGCTTTTATCTTCATAAAGGGGAACTACACAAATGAAGAGGCTTGTTAAATGGAAATTAAAAGGAACAGTCACAAGAGTGAAATGCCTGCAAACTACATGGAGATGATTTAAAAACACAAGGCTCGAACTAACTGTGAGGGGCCTTCCTGGGGTGCAACCTGGAACTGGGGTACTGCTAAGCCCTCTGTCCCTCCAACCTGTGCTCCCTCTCACCAAGCGATGCCGTGACAAGCTGCAAACCTCTGATAGGTCCTGCATTCACACAGACATCCCAGCCACTCATGAACTAACAATAGAGAGGCTCCAGCAATTCCCCCAGCTCCCCATCTTTGGTTCCCGGGACTGTACCGTCCTTCCCTGGTCAGAAGCCTGACCAGCATACGTTTATAACCCAGTCACCCCTCCCTCAACGTGGAGAGGAAATGCACCAGCTCTTGTTCCTCAGCAGATTTCTCAAGCACTTCAACCAAAACACACTGTTTTAGGTAAACCATAAAACAGGTTTATTAACTACAGAAAGACAGATTTAGGCATAAAGGATAGAGATGGTTACCAAAGAAAATAAAAGTATGTGCACAATCTAAACTCTATAAACTAAACAGGATTTGAATCAAGCAGCGCCTCACTCTGATAGTACAAGAAGGTTACAGATCTTCAGTACACAGGCTGGAATTCTCCTCCAACCCTGGATCACCTTCCCCCTTCCAGACATGTTTCCAGGTGTTGAGTTGTGGAGGGAGTGAGGCCAAGCCATGCAGCCACTGTTCCCTCTTCTATATCCATAGTCCCTGTGCCTAGAAGACACTTGTTTTGGCAGGTCCTGGAGGGCTTCCCTGAATTGCCCAGTTGAGCAATCCCCCGAGTGTGGGTGCTTCCGCAACTGTCCTTTAATTGTAAATCCCCTGATTACAATTCCCCTGCTTGTTAATGGTCATTGAGTACACTCTGTCCTGAGTACCCTCCTTTGAGTGGTTTGCTTTCTTTGTATGCCACTAGCAAACTTACAACATATTTCAGTAACAACCACACAGCAAAAATAACTTGATACACACTAATGATATACACATTTGGACAGAACAACGAGTTTCAGCAGATCATGACTTTTTATATGATACCTTACACAGCATGCTTTGTATGAAACATATCATAATTATATGCCCGTGGTAAATATGGGGTTCCAGGAGTGCCATAACCCAAATAAAAAAAATAGAAAGAGGACTGAAAAAATGAAACCATGGCTAAACAACAGAGTAAAAGAGGAAGTTGGAGGCAAAAAGGCATCCTTTAAAAATTGGAAGTGAAATCCTACAAAGGAAAATAGAAAGGAGCATAAACTCTGGCAAGTCAAGCATAAAAGCATAATTAGGCAGGACAAAAAAGAATGAAGAGCAACCAACAAAAGACAAAAAAACTAACAGGAAATTTATTTTAAGTACATCAGAAGCAGGAAGCCTGCAAACAATCAGTGTGGCCACTGGATGATCGGGGTGCTAAAGGTGCACTCAAGGAAAACAAGGCCATTGTGCAAAAACTAAATGAATTCTTTGCATCAGTCTTCACTGCAGAGGATCTGAGGAAGATCCCACACCTGAGCCATTCTTTTTAGGTGACAAATCTGAGGAACTGTCCCAGATTCAGGTGTCAATGGGGGAGGTTTGCACAACAACTAATTGTGATATGTGACCTACTGCTTAAACAGGTCTCTTGTACTAGATGACTGGACGATAGCTAATGTAATGTAGGTTTCAGAGTAGCAGCCGTGTTAGTAATGTAATGTAGATTTTTTTAAAAGGCTCCAGAGGCGATTCAGGCAATTACAGACCAGTAAGCCTAACTTCAGTACCAGGCAAATCGGTTGAAACTATAATAAAGAACAGAATTATCAGACACATAGATTAACACAATTTGATGGGAAAGAGTCAACACAGCTTTTGTAAAGGTAAATCATCCCTCACCAATCTATTAGAATTCTTTGAGGGGTTCAACAAACAGATGGACACGGGCGATCCAGTCTATATAGTGTACTAGGACTTTCAGAAAGTCTTTGACAAGATCCCTCACTAAAGGCTCTTAAGCAAAGTAGGCAGTCATGAGATGAGAGGGAAAATCCTCTCATGGATCAGTATGTGGTTAAAAGACAGAAAACAAAGAGTAGGAATAAATGGTAGTTTACACAATGGAGAGAGGCAAATAATGAGGTCCCCCGATGATCTATACTGGAATCAGTGCTGTTTAACATATTCATAAAGGGTTTGGAAAAAAGGGTAAACTGGTGGCAAAGTTTGCAGATGATACAAAATTACTCAAAATAGTTAAGTCCAAAGCAGACTACAAAGAGTTACAAGGGGATTTCTCAAAACTGGGCGACCGGGCAAGAAAATGGCAGATGAAATTCAATGTTGGTAACTGCAAAATAATGCACACAGGAAAACATAATCGCAACCATACAGACAAAATGATGGGGTCTAAATTAGCACTCAAGAAAGAGATTTTAGAGTCATCATAGATAGTTCTCTGAAAACATCTACTCAATATACAGCAGCAGTCAAAAAAGCTAACAATGTTAGGAACCACTAGGAAATGGATAGATAATAAGACAGTAAATATCATAATGCCACTATATAAATCCGTGGTACGCCCACATCTTGACTAATGCATGCAGTTCTGGTCACCCATCTCAAAAAAAAGATAGAATTGGTGAAGGTACAGAGAAGGGCAATGAAAATTATTAGGGGTATGGAACAGCTTCCATATGAGGAGAGATTAAACAGACTGTGACCAGTCAGCTTAGAAAAGAGATGACTAAGGGGAGGATATGATAGAGGTCTATAAAACCGTGAATGGTGTTGAAAAGGTGAATAAGGGAGTGTTATTTACTCCTTCACCTAACACAAGAACCAGGGGTCACCAAATAAAATTAACGGGCATTAAGTTTAAAGCAAACATAAGAAAGTACTTTTTCACACAACACACAGCTAACCTTTGGAACTCATTGCCAGGAGATGTTGTGAAGTCCAAAAGTATAACAGGGTTCAAAAAAGAATTAGATAAAAACACTGCATAACCTACTAAAACCAACTAAATCCACACTACACTACTGGTACTAACTTCTACTAACTACTTACACTACAAAAAATCACCAAGTAGCTGTGACACAGGAAACGAACTGTGAAGACAGAACCACATGGGGAGACCAGACTTAGGCCACTGGCAGTAAGAAGGAACTGAGTAGGGGTGGGGCATTGTTGCCCTTATATAGCCTCTGAAGAGGCCACAAGGAGGCGCAGGATGTGTGCGCTGCCCTAGAGGATACTGCTGCAGGAAGAAAGTCTCCAGCTCTCAGTGCGTCTGACACAAACACCTGAGTGGAATACACATCTACAACCACTTAACGAAGAAATTCCATTTTAAATTTGTTTTGAAGCTGCCACACAATTTCCAGTCTGTTGCTCTGGACTGCTGTAGAATCAAAGAGCCTGCCACAGAATGCAAGTCAAACTAGCTACAGAGTATGCAGGGCTAGGTCATGATCAGGGATCCTAGTTTTCTGAGATTAACAAAAACTAAATTCTCTAATAAAAAAAACATAAAAATCCTTGTTTTTCCATGATTATAACAAAACGCTCAACTTTAGTTTCCCTAACCACAATACATATAAGTATCAGTTGAACACAATGTTTTATTGATATACAGCAGAACCCCATTTATCCGAGCCTCCTTTATCTGGCTCTCCATATTAACCAAAACCACCAGACGCCTGGGGCTCACAGCCCAACCTCTGCTGGTCGTTCGGTTAACATGGAGAGGCGGATAATGGAGGCTTGGATAAACAGGATTCCGCTGTATATGTTTTTATTTTTTCACAAAATGTAAAACCTAAAGATTCTCTGTAAAAATGCAAATTCCACATTTTTCCATGGCAAACGGATTTCTAGGATCCCTGGCCATGATGCAATGACTTTGGTGGCAACTTCAAGCTAGTAACCTTGGACCCTAAACACAACAGTTAAAGGAAAGGGATGGACTGAATGTGCCCTGGCACTAAGAACGTTGGGAAATGTAGTGGGCTAAAAATGGGCAATTGTATTGGATAAAAACTGCAACTCTCTGATGTACCCATGGAGTTGTGCTTCTCAGGTATAAAAATGGTCACTGACCATGAAAAGCTTAATCAGTTTTAAATCTATGGTTAACTTTGATATATTGCAGGGGGGAGATAAGGACAGCAATAAAGCAGAATGAGTCAATCCTGCCAAAGGCTATAAGAGTAATAAGAAGAGGTTCTTACCAATAACAAAGAGAGGGGAAATGGGGGCAAAGAAACAGGAAAAAGAAAATTGGAACATAAATAAATGGTAGGTGAAATGAATGCTGAATATTTTTAAAACATTCTGTTACTGAACTGCTTTTTAAGATTTATACAGATTTTAACATGAAAAATGATTGGACAATTAGCAAGTAACGAAGACCTTGTAAATACAGTCATAAAGGCTCTGATTATAACAACAATAATACCTAGCTCTTGTATAGTGCTTTTCATCAGTGGATCTCAAAGCACTTCACAATTTTTAATGTGTTTTATCTTCACAACACTCCCGGACGATTGGAAAAAGGCTAATATAGTGCCCATATTTTAAAAAGGGAAGAAAGAGAACCCAGGGAACTACAGATCGGTCAGCCTCACTTCAGTCCCTGGCAAAATCATGCAGCAGGTCCTCAAGGAATCCGTTTTGAAGCACTTGGAGGAGAGGAAGGTGATCAGGAACAGTCAACATGGATTCACCAAGGGCAAGTCATGCCTGACCAACCTGATTGCCTTCTATGATGACATAACTGGCTCTGTGGATATGGGGAAAGCGGTGGATGTGATATATCTTGACTTTAGCAAAGCTTTTGATACAGTCTCCCACAGTATTCTTGCCAGCAAGTTAAAAAAGTATGGATTGGATGAATGGACTATAAGGTGGATAGAAAGCTGGCTAGATTGTCGGGCTCAACAGGTAGTGATCAATGGCTCAATGTCTAGTTGGCAGCCGGTATCAAGCGGAGTGCCCCAAGGGTCGGTCCTGGGGCCAGTTTTGTTCAACATCTTTATTAAGAATCTGAATGATGGGATGAATTGCACGCTCAGCAAGTTCACAGATGACACTAAGCTGCGGGGAGAGGTAGATATGCTAGAGGGTAGGGATAGGGTCCAGAGTGACCTAGACAAAATGGAGGATTGGGCCAAAAGAAATCTGATGAGGTTCAACAAGGAGAGTCCTGCACTTAGGAAGGAAAAATCCCATGCACTGCTACAGGCTGGGGACTGAGTGGCTAGGCAGCAGTTCTGCAGAAAAGGACCTGGGGATTACAGTGGGCAAGAAGCTGGATATGAGTCAACAGTGTGCCCTTGTTGCCAAGAAGGCCAACGGCATATTGGGCTGTATTAGTAGGAGCTTTGCCAGCAGATCCAGGGAAGTGATTATTCCCCTCTATTCGACACTGGTGAGGCCACACCTGGAGTACTGTGTCCAGTTTTGGTCCCCCCACTACAGAAGGGATGTGAACAAATTGGAGCGAGTCTAGGGAGGGCAACAAAAACGATTAGGGGTCTGGGGCACATGACTTACGAGGAGAGGCTGAGGGAACTGGGGTTATTTAGTCTGCAGAAGAGAAGGGTGAGGGGGGATTTGATAGCAGCCATCAACTACCTGAAGGGGGGCTCCAAAGAAGATGGAGCGAGGCTGTTCTCAGTGGTGGCAGATGACAGAACAAGAAGCAATGGTCTCAAGTTGCAGTGGGGGAGGTCTAGGTTGGATATTAGGAAAAACTATTTCACTAGGAGGGTGGTGAAGCACTGGAATGGGTTACCTAGGGAGGTGCTGGAATCTCCATCCTTAGAGGTTTTTGAGGCCCGGCTTGACAAAGCCCTGGCTGGGATCATTTAGTTGGTATTGGCCCTGCTTTGAGCAGGGGATTGGACTAGATGACCTCCTGAGGTCCCTTCCAACCCTGATATTCTATGATTCTATGAGTATCATCCCAATTCTGTAGAGTGGGAATGGAGGCACGGAGGCACAGACCCACAAAGGTACTTAGGCAGCTAACCACCACTGATTTCAATGGAAGTCAGGAGCATCAATAGCTTTGTGGATGTGTGTCTGACAGCCTAAGTCCCTGATCCACCAAAGGGACTTCGGCATTGCATTTTTAGGCACCTAGGAGAGCACAAACCTAAATTAGGCACCTAGGCTCTCATACAATGAATGAGGAGAGACAGTGCCTTGCAACGCATTGCACAAAGCCAGTACGCTAGGCGGGGAACTGCCTAATGTAGCCAGTGGGAGATGCTGGTGGGGGAGGAGGCGTGTGCTAAGCTCCACCCCCTCACAGAGAGCCCTAACCACTAGAGTCAGTCTTACTCTTTCCCTGGCCCAACTACTCTTGAATTATTCCGTTAAATAATTAAAGTGGAAGAACTTTGGTCTGAGAGATTGAGGAGACCCATAGCAGGCTATTCTCTAGCCCAATGCTTAGGGCACTTACCTGAGAGGCAGCAGGGCCCTGTTCTATCCCTTCTCCTCATCGGGCTGAGGGAGGATTTGAACTAGTAGTCTCCCACATCCCAAGTGAGTGCTCTAACCCCTGAGCTAAGGGTTATGAGGGAGGTCCCGCCGGCCTCCCAGCTGTTCTTGTGTGGCATTAGGAGCAGGCCCCACATGCAATTTAAGCAAAGAAGTTCCTGTCTTCTCCCCATTAATGGAGCTTTCTGGGGCTCAGGCAGGAGGTAGGCACCGAGGCACCCAGAGTGAGGCAGAAGTGCATGTGCTCCGAGGTTGAAACATAGGAAACTTTTACTGCAAAAACTTGGGGTCCAGGTGAGTTTTGGCGCCTACAGGGTTAGGCACAAGCAGGAGTTTTGTGGGTCGCAGTGGGGTGACTGAAAATGGGACTGAGACTAAGTACTTTATGGATCCCACCCTTTTTTGCCCAAGATCACATAGGAACTCTGCAGTGCAGCAGGGAATTGAAGCCAGGTTTCCCAAGTCCTAGGCTAGTTCCATAACCATGACATCACCTTGTCGCAGAGAAACACATAAACATGTGCTTAAATCCCACTGACTTCAGTGTGTTCAGAGTTTTGCTCAACTGAGGCCAAACAGCACACTCAAGAATACTTGAAAATGTGGACAGATCATATGGCCCAGCAGACATTCATTCTGAAGTTTCACTAGAATTAGCCAGCATACTTACTGAACACTGACAATTATTTTTGAAAAGTCAGAGAACTGGGAGATACCAAAGGTTTAGTAATAGCAAATATGGTACCAATATTTTTTTAAAGAAGAGCAATCCTGGTAATTACAATCCAGTAAGTTAAAAACAAAACACAGCTGACAACATTATTAACAGAGAAATTCTGTAGACATCTGCAGCCATAGTTCTCAAACTTCCTTATTGCAGGCTGAGACCCTCTTGGGGACACCTCATCTCTCAACCTCAATTCCACTTTCCCTGTAGCAACTCTAATGCTTGGTTATATGAAAAATTAATGTTAGGACATTACTGTGGGGAAAGATGAAAACACATTTGCTTTATTGCAGTGAGTGTTGCTGCTTACTAACAACCTCCCATTTTGTATTTGGACTACTTCCTCTTTCTTTCATTTTATCAACACTGAAACCACCCCACTATAAGCTCATGTTCTCTCTCTCTAGCTCACTTTGTAGTTTGATTCTCCTCACCTGTGTGTTTGTTCCTGCTCCAACTGCACTATCGTCCACAAATCTGATCACTATTGAATTTACACTGACAAACACCTCCTGTGATGCAGAGATGTCAATTGCCCATTTCATTTTAAGTGGTTTCTTGCAATACATGTTAACCCCGTATCCATAACAATCTTTCCACCTTGTATTTAGCTGTGATACCCTGGTTACCTTTTCCAGACCTGAAGAAGAGCTCTGTGTAAGCTCAAAAGCTTGTCTCCAGCACCAACAGAAGTTGGTCCAATAGAAGATATTACCTCACTCACCTTGTCTATCTGAAAAAAACCTAATGACAGCCATCCGACACAAAAACAAAAAGTGGAACCAATTACAACTACAACAACAACTCCACAATCACAGAACACCACCTCCAGGGGAAACCATGACACCAGGACCCAACACATACTCACTACACAACATCAATATCAACCCATCAAGACTACCCCTAATCAGAGCTGAATTACCTGTCCTCTCCAAGGGACTCAACTTCTGCCCCATCACAGAACCGATACCACATGAATATGTGGAGAACTAGAAGAATTATTTACTGACTCAAAGAATTCTTCCACAACAAAGACAACACCGCCCACAACTACCACATTCCCACTGACAGTCATAAAGAATCATCTGACTGGACACTCCCCCACCCCCAGTGGAAGAAACCACATAGTTGATTATTACATCGATTTCTTCAGGACAAAAAAAAAAACCACCCGACTATGAAATCCTTAACAAACCTCACATCCACCACAACCTCTCCACTGACGAGAAGATAGATACACAGTCCTTGAAATCCAACCACCAGACGAAGGGGGTGCCCTTGTCCATGATGACTATGTCAACAAGGCCAACCAGCAACTCTCCAACATCACCTCCTACAAAAAAATCAAAGACTACCTGCACCACAATTCACAAAGTAATTTAAAGATATGATCAAATCCTTCCCCAAGATCAACTCCAAGATAAACTCTGCAACCTCATCCCCCATGAACCCACCCAGGTACCTTTTAATGCTTCCCACCAGGCAGGCCCACCCTGTCCGGCCACCGATCACTTCTTTAAGGAATAAAGCACTCACAGCAATCCTCCTCAAACCATTCATTGTGCAAGGGGACAGTTTCCTCCAGGTTACAACTGACTTCCTCCAGAAGCTCGACACCATCAACAATCTCCTTCAGAACCCCCTCTCTGCTGCCATGGGTGTCACTTCATTACACACCAGCATCCCTTCCCACGCTGGCATTGCTCTCTGCCTCATATATCTACAAGACAATGAATAACACTCCGACAGCCACCCCAAACACATTACCAGACTCATCCACTTCATCCTCACCCACAACAACAACAACAACAAACATTTTGTCCAAACCACGGGAACAGCCATGGGTACTAGAATGACTCTCCAATATGCTAACTGCTTCACAGGCCACCTCAAGGAAGAAAGTCTAGACAAATGCACCACAAACCAATGATATATTTGAACTACATTGGTAATATTTTCATTCTCTGGACAGATGACCTAAACTCCATCATAGATTTTCACCACAGCTTCAAACAACACAACCCATCCATCAAACTCTCTATAGAACAGAGCTTCTCAAACTGTTCCAGTGGTCCGCAAGCTCCATTCAGGTGGTCCGTGGATAGTTCCTTCTAAGGTTCGCGCCTGGGCGGCCGCACACAAGAGAATGAAGGGCCACCCACCTAATTAGTGGAGCCGCGCAGGTGCCTGGACCCTGGAGAAGATGCACATTGTAAGGTGAGGTGATGGCCTTGGGGGAATAGGGGGTAGGTGGGAGGGTGAGGTGGGGGGGCATTAGGGTCAGAAGAAGAGTAGGGGGAATTTGGGACGTGCAGGGCTGCGGCAGCCAGAGAAAGAGGTGACTTTCTCCAGCTCCACGGCTGCAGCTGCTGGGGAGAGACGACTCTCCTTCCCTCGGGGGCTGCCATGGTGGGGGAGAGAGGGAGATACCCCCCACTCCTTCCCAGCCCAGCTTGGTGGCTGCCATGGCGGTCGAGAGACTACTGATATTAAAATATGAGTTGTGGGCTTTTATTTGTAGAACAAAAAAAGTTAATTATTATTAAGGGTTTTTTTATATAGCACTTTATCCAAAGCCCTTTACAATAGTTAGCTAACGGTACAAACAACATTTGGAAAGATCATTAAGTGCTCCGCCTAGACCCTCAGCAATTTTCAAGTGCTCTGTGGGGAAAAAAGCTTGAGAACCACTGCTCTAGAACACTCCCACACCAGCATCAACCTCTGGATGGCATGATCAGCTTCAACATTGGAACCCTACAGACAACTACATACAAGAAACCCACAGATCACCACACCTACCTTCACAAATCCAGTAACTGTTGAGATGAGTTCCTGTCTGCATCCTGTAAAACTTGCCCATACCGGTATTGCCCTGGCCTCTTCTTTTGTCATTCAGTGTTGCACGCATTCTAAAGCAATATGCATTTCCTCACCTTTTGGGGGCGAAGCCAGACTTTGAGGCACCTGCTCCCCTACTTGGTGTAAACTTTGCTTGTGCCAATCAGAAACGAACACAAACAGGTTTTGGGCCCCGTCCCCTATGACACTTCTATGATGTCATAGTTGGTACTTTATGGGCTGCCTGCCATGTGCAGGCAGGGAGAGGAGAAAGAAAAACGAATCCTGTGTATCCTGTGTACACCCGTAACCGAGCCTGATCACCTCGAAGCCTCTCTCAGCTCACGTGTTTCAAACAGAGTTTCTACGTTTGCCGGTCGTTATGCGTTGCTTTGTATTTGTAAGTATCAGTTATTACTAAATGCTGCATCTTTGTTTATAAATATTGTTAGTAGATATTTTAGTCATTGTGTGTTTTAAGTTTCATTAACTCTATTAGCTAATCAAACGCTGCTCCCTTACCCCTTGTAATTATCCCCAATAAAACTTTAAATTGATTAATTTTAGTTGTGTGTGTGTGTGTGTCTGCAGTTTGCATCGTGACCCATACTCTCCTTGCATCCCTTACCAATATAGTCTATTGCCACGTGCAGCCTGGTAAATAACAGGCCTGCATTTTCTTTTGCCCTTGCGTGCCCGTGGCAATCCATAGTAACCATCCCAGACAAACCAAGAAATCTGTTATCTACAGCCAGGCACTCAGATACTACAGAATATGCTACGATGAGAAAGTTCAGGAGACTCACCTTAACGCATTTAAAACCACCTTCCCCAAACAAGGACACTCCTCCAGAGAAGTAGATTGCACCATGGAATGGGCCACCCACATACCCTGAGGGTATGTCTACACTACGAGAGTAGTTCGATTTTAGTTAAATCGAATATGTGCAATCGATATTAGAAAGTCGAACGTGTGTGTCTACACTAAGGACAGTAATTCGACTTTGTCAGTCCACAGTACCAGGGAAAGCGTCGACATTGGAAGCAGTGCACTGTGGGCAGCTATCCCACAGTTCCCGCAGTCCCCGCTGCCCATTGGAATTCTGGGTCGAGCCCCCAATGCCTTCTGGGTAAAAAAATGTGGCGAGGGTGCTTTTGGGTAACTGTCGTCATCCGTCAGTCACTACCGCCCTGCCTCCCTCCCTGAAAGCGCCGGCGGGAAATCAGTTCGCGCACTTTTTGATCAGTGACAGCGCGGACGCCACAGCACTGCGATCATGGATCCCGCTGCGACCATCGCTGCAGTTGTGGCCGTTCTCAACGCCTCGCACCTTATCATACACCTTACCCTGAGGCAGATGCAGAGTAATCAGGCGAGGAGGCTACGGCACCGCCGTGAGGGCCTGAAGTCGGAGAGTAGCACAGAGCTGTCAGAAACCACGAGCCCCAGCGCCCAGGACATCACGGTGGCAATGGGGCATGTGGATTTTGTTGAACGGCGATTCTGGGCCCGGGAAACAAGCACGGACTGGTGGGACCGCATAGTGCTTCAGGTCTGGGATGAATCCCAGTGGCTGCGAAACTTTCGCATGCGGAAGGGCACTTTCCTGGAACTTTGTGACTTGCTGTCCCCTGCCCTGAAGCGCAAGGACACCCGCATGCGAGCAGCCCTGACTGTCCAGAAGCGAGTGGCCATAGCCCTCTGGAAGCTTGCAACGCCGGACAGCTACCGGTCAGTCGCGAACCACTTTGGCGTGGGCAAATCTACCGTGGGGGTTGTTGTCATGCAAGTAGCCAAGGCAATCGTCAAGGTACTGCTGTCAAAGGTAGTGACCCTGGGAAACGCGCAGGCCATCATAGATGGCTTCGCTGCGATGGGATTCCCAAACTGCGGTGGGGCTATAGATGGGACTCACATCCCTATCCTGGGACCGGGCCACCAGGCCAGCCAGTACATCAATAGAAAGGGCTACTTTTCAATGGTGCTGCAAGCACTGGTGGACCATCGGGGACGGTTTACAAACATCTATGTCGGATGGCCGGGCAAGGTTCATGACGCTCGCGTGTTCAGGAACTCTGGTCTGTTTAGACGGCTGCAGGAAGGTATTTACTTCCCGGACCACAAGATAACTGTGGGGGATGTGGAGATGCCTACAGTGATCCTCGGGGACCCAGCCTACCCACTAATGCCCTGGCTCATGAAGCCCTATACTGGCGCCCTGGACACAGAAAAAGAACTGTTTAACTACCGGCTGAGCAAGTGCAGAATGGTGGTGGAGTGTGCTTTTGGCCGTCTCAAGGGGAGATGGAGAAGCTTACTCACTCGCTGTGATCTCAGCGAAACCAATATCCCCATCATTATTGCAGCTTGCTGTGTGCTCCACAATCTCTGTGAGAGCAAGGGGGAGACCTTTATGGCGGGGTGGGAGGTTGAGGCAAATAGCCTGGCTGCTGATTACGCCCAGCCAGACAGCCGGTCGATTAGAAGAGCCCAGCGGGACGCGCTGTGCATCCGGGAGGCTTTGAAAGCCAGTTTCAAGGCTGAGCAGGGTACCCAGTGACTTTTAAGTTTGTGGACACAGAGGCAGAACTTGCCCCCCTTTCTTTACCCAGTTGCCATCGACTATCCTCTCCACTTACATACCCCCTTCACCCCCTTCCCAAAAAATAAAGTCTGTTCTGTTTTGTTAATGGACACCGTTGTCTTTATTACTGTTTTCGCGGGAATGTTTTAAACCTGGGACACAGACTGTGGCGGGGGGCGGGTTTAGGGTTGTGATGCAAATGATGCCTCTAAACTCCAGGAATGACAGGCTCCGCGGTGGTGGACTGGTTGTTTCAACGGAGCCTGCCAGCCCTCCTGGCCGGGACTGCGTGTATGTGTCGGCTATGTGACTGTCTTGCAGGGGGAGGAGGGTTACAGATCCCCTGCTGCGCGGCTCTGTGATGCAGGGTAAGGACCGCTGCATAAGATCTGTAACTGCCCTCCCCCGCCACCAAGTCACAGAGCAACACCACCGCCCCCACCACACAAAACATGAAAACCACCTCCCAGACTGACCAGGATAACTAGTCACTGCACTGTATATGTGCCCTGCTGCTGCACCTGGCCCCTGCTAAAGGTGACTGTCCTGTCCAATGACCAAGCCCCTTCCCCCCCCCTTCAGACAGACTCCCCTCCAAAAGAAGAGGATGGAAACAGAAATGAACAGAAACGTATTCTTTATTAACAACCGCACATGGAACGGGGGGGTGAAACTTGGACGGGGTCTTGTGTGAGGCGGGTAGGAAAGGACTTTTCAAATTTTGGGGAATGAGAGCCTTCTAGTGGTAGAGCAGTCCGCAGGGGTGGAGTGAAATTTTTCACGGCCCCTTCCACCCCTCCGTGTTTGGACTTTGGGTGAGGGGGGTATGGGACTTGGTGGCGGGGCAGGGCAGTTACAGAGAGACTGCAGCGGGGCTCTCTCCTCCTGCCTCCGGTCCTGCAGAACATCCACAAGGCGGCGGAGCGTGTCCGTTTGCTCCCTCATTAGTCCAAGCAGCGTTTGAGTATCCTGCCTGTCCTCCTGTCGCCACCTCTCCTCCCGTTCCATGTTTGCCCGGTGCATTTGGGACAAGTTCTCCCTCCACTGTGTCTGCTGGGCTGCCTGTGCTCGGGAGCATCCCATTAGTTCAGCAAACATGTCTTCCCGTGTCCTCTTCTTCCTCCTCCTAATGTGCGCTAGCCTCTGGGCAGATGTGGCTGTGGGAATTGGAAAAAGGGAGTGAATTCCTGAGACAGAGCAATGTATCTGTGAACAGAGAACATAGTCTTTCTCTGTGAACAAGACCATGCAGAGCACCTATCACACGCGCACTGAGGACAAGGTCGAATTTTCGGCCCTCGCCTACAGTGCCTGCGGTCTTGCTGTGGCGAGCTGAGGAGCAGGGCTGGACACCGGACTTTGTCTAGCTGGCAAACATGGTAAGCCGTAG